ATTCTCTTTCTCTCTCATTATTTGTAGGTGATTTAGCTGTTTATGATATTTGTATCAATTAATATTTAAACTGATATTTGTTTACTTAAAATTTGTGGGTTTGATGTAGACCCAGGCTTATGTGGGACTGAAATGATTGTCCCAAATCAATTTGCTTTTGGTTTATTAGATTAACGAGGAGAAGAAAGAGAAAAAAATAAAAATGAAAAAACATAAAAAAAATAAAAAGGAAAAAGGAAAATGAGTAAATGAATATTAAACAATTTAATGGAGTAGTTTAGAGTTCATGGAATGATTAACAAGGAGAGATAATAAAGGGAGTTAAGGAGAAAGAGAAGATAGAATTAATGGTGAGTTAATGAGGAGAGATAGAAGTCTTAAACACTAAAGTTGTTTGCTACTTAAGTAATTTTGTTCAATTGTAAAAATAAAAATTAAAATAAATACAAAATAGATAAATGATAGGGGAGAAAGGAGAGCCATGCTGACATGACACATCTTGTTTTAGGGAAAATCTATGATGTTGGAAATATATGGTATAGAAAGAGTTTTGACCAATCAAAACCCACCCATGAATTTTGATAAATAACACCTGATCCCCTACCAAGTTTATGATTACAGTTTATTGGTCAGATGTTTTTCTGATATCATATCTTTTCCATGACAGATTTGTATGTAAGTTTGTATTGTGAGGTTATGAAAAATAGGGGTTTAGGCATTTAAGGGCATTTTCTAAAAAAATTGGGGACTTGATGTGGTTGCATACATACAAATTATAGAAAAAACAAATTGGAAATAGATAGAATTGAAACTGAAGAAGGGAGGTTTTTGGCCCATCTTCATCAAAACAAGACAAGCGAGTTTGGAAGTCGCTCCATTGGAGTAAGGTTTTGAGTTGTGTGAAGTGTGAACCTTCTATTTTCCAGAATGGAGAAGGAGAGGAATGGAGAGGGAACCAAAGGGCATTATTAAAAGGGAGAAGAGAAAGCACGATGAGTTTGTAAGTAAAAACCATGATGGGAAAAAGGGATTTGTGAAAAAATGAAGATTTCATTAAAAACAAAATATAAGAGAAGGGGGGAAAATTGAAGGGGCATCAACCTATTGAAAATGCTTATGGTCCCAAGGACTTGAACTTTTCCACTTCATAGGGATGCAAATGGGCTGGATCAAATTCGATTCGGGGTATATCTGAATCCGATCCGATAATATAAATCTTATATCTGATCCAATATGAAGATCTGATCAAATCTCACAGGTTAATTCAAATTTGAATCCATTAAGGTTGTCAGATATCCAAATCTGACCCGACCCTTTATTTTTGAAAATTTTAACAGATTGTTTGATTTGGTTCAGTCCAAAAATCCAAGGAAATATCCAAATCCGATAAAGAGAATTAAATTCAAATTATTGGATCATGATCAGTTCAATTGCACCCCTACAATTTCATCGCCCTATTATTGAGCAAGGGTCCTATCATTTCCGATGTTCAATTAATATCTCTGTTCCTATGAATACATTAGAAATGGACAAGGAATGTGATATAATTCTTAGCAATACTCCTTTTTCAAAATTTTCATAAAGCAAGTGGATGAGAGAGAGAGAATGAATCCCGTCATATTACTTCAACAGGCAGGGAGAAATGTTGACTAGTACATCATATTCAATATTCCAAAGTCCAACTACAATGAAGAGTTCATATGATAAAATGATTGAAGTCAAAGACAAAAAAAACCCGAAGACAAGTGTGCGTGCGTAGAGATCGGCTTCAGTGCTCACACCGTTTGCACAGCATTTATAGCTCTACTTTGGGAAATTTTTCATATTTATATGTTTTTTTTTTGAAGAGAGATTCCCAATGCAAGGTTGTAAAAGGTTATGCGAACAGTGTGAGCACTGAAACTGATTTCACATGCGTGTGATGTGCTTTTTTCTCGTTCTCTTACAAATTATAATAGCAAACGGATACCGTTTGGCAAGTCTTTCTACGCGATCTTCTGTCTGTTTAGAAGCTTATAAGATCGAAAATCGGTTTATTCCCGTTTGGTTTACACAAGATTTCGCCGCCAAAAAATATTGCGCCGAAAAGTCCGGAGAAGCCCAATTTGAGCTGATTTCGGGAAGCTACGATCATAGCTTCCGGGCTTTTATGCCCTCTTGGAGTTTCCTCATACGTGTGCGATTTCTCACACGCATACAAATGTGAACAGTAACCCCCGATGCTAAACCCCCCCAAAACCCCTCTCATTCGCATACCGGACACCTATCGTTCTCACTTCTCACAGGTTCTCTTCGACCTCCATCCCCTTCATCCTCCTATTCCTTCTTCTTCTTCTTCTCCGCCGTCGCCATCCTCTTCTTTGTCTCTCTTCCGTGGTTTCACTAATTATTTTTCTTCTCTTTTGTAGGAGATTATAAATCAATTGGTGCTTGTTTTTCTCGCGGTGGTGGTAGTCTGTCATTCGGGTGGTGGTTTGCACAGGTACAACCCCATCCCAATATGTACTGTTAGGGTTTTTTTGGAACATCTATTGTTCCTTATGTAGGTCATTCTCAGATCTTTGTTGTTTGCTATTTATGTCGTTTGGTTACATCTCAGATCTTTGTTGTTTGCATTAGGGTTTTTTTTTGGATCATCCATTGTTGTTTGCGTATGGATTTGTTATGAGGTGATTGATGCTTGCATTATGGTGATATCTCGGCGATTTATCCAACTTTATACATGGCAGTTTATAATTATGTGCTAATTAGTGATTGTATTGAGATCCATGACAGTACAGTTGTATGAAATTCTTGGGATCTATTGTAATCTCATTTTTTGCAGATAAAACCTTAGTTCTGTTGAGTGATTTCAGTTTCAGTGATTGAAGTGGGCACCTGCTGTTTGTTCCCAGGCCCAGCTGAGCCTCATTCCTATAAATTAGCTTGCATTAACCTCCTTTTAGATATAGCTAGAGAATATGAGAAAGTGAAAGAAACTAAACAACATAAAAAAGTTTAAATTGAACTTGACAAGGTATAAGCATTGAAATAATATTTAGATTAGAAAAAAAAAACTAAATTCAAAGCATAGTAGATCTTTTATTAAATAGGATATCCATACCTCTATGGTTGGATCTGTGTCTTGGAATGAAGAGTCATTTTCTATTTCCCATATCTGTTTTTGTATTTGTATCTGTACATCTTAGGTTTATACTTCTATATGTTTACTCTTTTTTTTTTAAGGTAAATAAAAGTTGTATTTACTTCTTTTAAACTGTTACATGTTTAATTCTTCCGTATAATGTTGTGGCTTATACATTTTTTTTTTAATTTTCATTGCTTTTATTTTTAACATTTGTTTTTAATTTTCATTGCTTTTATTTTTAACCTGAAAGTATCAGATAAAGAAATTTAATGTAGGATGCTTCTTGTGGATATTTGATCTTATTATGGTTGGGGCTCATAATAGTAGTCTTAGGGTTTAGACTTTAGATAGCAAGTAATAAGGATTTACGATTGCAGATTTTAATGTCAGAGACTGATAAGAAGTAAATGATCTTTTAGGGCTGATTGATTGGGTTATTTGAATCTTGCTTACTCAGACCTATGCTTTTGATCTTTTCCTCCATCAAGAAGGTTGTGTGGCATGAAAACACTTGAAATTAGGGTGAACCAGGTGGTTCTCTGTACTCAACATGGAAAGTATTTCCCTTACTATATGAGCTCTTAAAGAATAATGTCAGAAAAGTCTAGCTGGCCCATATTGGAGATAAATAGAGGGAACAATTTTTTTGTGGGCCATCCTAACCGTCTCATGGGCTATTATTGGGGTCCATCGGATCTTAAGATAATGGTTAGATGCCCTCTATCAATGTCGTTGTATGTTGGAAAGAATGGGTTGTTCAAAATATAAGTTCAGAGGATTCGCATTAATAATCTCTCTCTCAGTAAAGTATCAATGAACACCAAATATCTCCAAGCAGTGGGCCCATAAATGAATAGAGAAATGTTCAGAATTTTAAGTTGCTTATTGAAATTAAAGCAGCCATGATAAATCTCCTAATCATTTAAGTTCCTTTCAAGTCATTGGGTGACAAAAGAAAAAGGAGACTGTTTTTTTTCATTGTTACATTAATTAGCAAGAACAAAGGTATACAATGACACATGGTGGTGGGCTGTGTTAATCTTATCAATTTCTCAAACTCCTGCTCTGTATTAATCTTATCAATTTGATATTCATGAAAGCACTTTGCAAGCCACCTGAGTTTATCAATTTGATATTTCGGTAGGGATCCACAAATCCCACAACCCGGCAAGCTTAAATATGTATCGATAACTGAGAGTCTTTTACCAGACCAAGAAAAAGTAAAGGAAATTTGAGAGAAGACAAGAAGAAATGGAAGGGTAAAAAAGAAACCAGAAAAAAAAAGTAGTCCCATTGAACCCTGAATTATATCTGTACAATAAGATTTTTTTTTTCTTTTTCTTCTTTTCTGTGTTCTGGATACTAGAATCAGTGCAAGGTAACTGGGACCACAATACCCCAATCCACTGTCATTTGGGTCACTGTGACCCAACCATGATGGGTCAACTATCATACTGTTAGTTAATCCAAGTGGGCCCCACAAATGGTTTGTAGACCCCATACGGGAAAAATGAAAGATATTACTCAATATATAAGAAGCCCACACATTATTATTGTAGATGGGTCCCATAAGACCCATATCCACCATGGTTTTGGGCCACTGAAACATGCATAAGTAGCCCAGATCAATAATAATGTGCAATAACCCACACTTATGCTGATAATGTCTTCCAGCGGATCGACAAATATGTGTACTTACCAAACGGTCTTCGGGCTGTCCAGATCTTATGTCAAAAGCTCAATAAGTCTTTTGACTGTTAGAACTACAAGGAGATCTTCTCAAAAAGACTTGCCAAACGGACAACTTACATTACATCCTCGCCAAGAGAGAGAGAGAGATCCTCACACAAAGTGTTGTGAATGAAACGCCATAGAAATCCATTCACTTATTTTGCGTAATTCAACATCCAATTGACAAAGAAGTTACAATAGAGATGAGAAGAAAAGAAAGGCCATCCCCATGATATCCTCCGCAAAATTTATGAACACACTCACAATCAATAACAAATTACAAAATAAGGAAACTACATTTGCTCCTCACCAAATTTAATCCCGAGAAATAAGAAAGAAGATAAAATACAAAAGAATAAATGAAAACAACTGTACCTAAGGAGACAATAAACCCATTGTTTTACCACTGCGCTGAGAAAACTATAATGACAAATCTCCCCTGAAGACTATATACACTGGTATTATAAATAAAAATCAAATACACCCTTGTTTCTTTCTGATCTCTCTTTTTTTCCTACAGTTAAAATTACAACAAATAAGAATGATCGTGTTTACCCTAATATGGATTGCTATTTGTTTGACCACTGGAACTCAATTTCAAGATTCCGTGAGGGCCCGCTTTTGCTCTCAGGCAGCAGAGTGTACTCCCCAGCCACTGCTCCCAACATCACAACCCGGTCAATTTGGATTGTTACTTTACCAAATGAACTCTGCAATTAGATTACAATAATTTGATCAGCCGCCACAACAAGATGCAACGAAACCCACAATCTCTTTGAAACTTCCTCTTTGGATCATTCTCATCTTTTATTGAAAGCCATCCAGAGTGGTGAGTCAAGAGGTCATTTACCTTTCCAAATTTGCTCTTATTTTTGCAGGAGATGTGAAGCTTCTGGCCTTTAGGAGGGCTTTCAAATGCCCATGCAAAGCTCTCGTCCCATTCGGGAGTAGGACCAGTTGATACAACCTGAATACCAAATGACAAGAGTCAGGTCAGTAAATTTTATCCATTCGTGTTGTAATCTTTAGCTGCAAAAGGTAAAAAGAAGGTTAAAAAATGAGGTTTCAAGAGAAAATGGAAACTCCTGCTTCAAGGATGGACTCCAATAAAATACTGCCAGTTAAATGTTGCAAGATATAACATCTTAAAACTTAATCTGGCATTCTTAAACCCACAATTAAAGAATGACAGAATGGTCATTGAATTGGCGGTTCCCCATGCTCTGCCACCTCCATGAAGCATTACAGATGACAAAATCTTATGAAGCGTATATTTTCTATCAAAATAAATAGTGGTGATTTAATTAGTGCACTCTTTTTGAGCAAAAACACGAATGTCCTACTGTGTCTGTCATTTAATTGGCTTAACAATTCAACCAAAATAGTTCTGAGCTTTCTCTATGTTTTGATGCCATGCATGACAGACACAACAGGTCGCTCGTGGGTCACTCTGCAATCACCTCATCTGATCATCAAATTCATTCTAAATGTCACCAAATGAATGTGACAAAGAAAGTTGCATGGTTGCCATGGTTGTCAAAGCAACAAGGTTAACCTAGGCCTGCCCTTTAGCTGGGTGATTTGCATTATGCACTCAAGCATTAAACATTTCAAAATCCTAACATTTGAGCATTTCTGCATGAAAAGTGTGTATATTTGGGGTGGGGGGCATAATAACAGTTCAAGTTCCACATAGCAAGGCATGTGACAAAATACTTGCAAGCAGCAAAGAAAGCATATGGATTCTCAAATAATCAATTTCATAGATATGACAGCATATTCAATTTATCAAGTTGATTAAATGAGAATGCTGTCATTTCTAATATTAATGAATATGTACTGTTTTATCGTCGCACTACATAATATCATTTATTTTACTACTGGCTACTCCAATTCCCATACAAGCCACATAAGAAAATGTAAGACAAATTAAAACAAATATTCATATGTTCTTAAGGCTGAGTTTGAAAGGAGTTCAAATGCAAATATGTTGAGTGCAAAACCTTATATTTTATATTATTTTGTATGTATTTACGCTGTACATATTTGCATTTGTACTCTTTCCAAACTGAGCTTAAAATTTGGAAAACAATCTAAGGTTTTAGACTTTATGGATGATTTAGAGCTGAAAGATGATATGTTGCACAATACACATGCATTATCCGGTCATTATAAGAAACAATACTGCTAGACACCTAGATAACTGCCTAAAGTTTAATGCAAGCACCATTCTTCAAAAGGTCTAGGTGACCTTCATGAAGCCATTCTTGGAGTATACTCATCCAGGAAATGCAGAAAAAAATGATATCCCAAGATGCATCTAGGGCATATAGTTTTAAAAGATCATAAACAGAAAAGATACTAGCCACCTTGAGACAGAGAATCTTCAATTTGTGCTAAAATAAAAGTGCATTGAATAATGGAGGGTACATGAGCTTCTCTAAGATGTTCCACAACTGTTAATATTATCATTTTTTTGGAAAATAATATGATTACTTAAAGCATAAAGATTTGTTATGAGGGCCAAAGCAAAACTCACTGTGGAAAACAGTTAACCAACACTAGAACAGTCAATGCCAATGTAGCATCTCCCTCCCTTGGGAAATTAATCCCAATTACAAATAGAACTCCCCCCCCAACCCCCCCCCCCCCAAAAAAAAAAAAAATCCCTTTCGGGGTAGTCCCCAGAATAAATGATTCTTGGATAACCCTTGCTTAGCTAATGAGTCAGTTAGAGAGTTTGCAGACCTTTGTGCCCAAATTGCTGTGGCACTGAGATCACTCAAAATTTCCTTTGCCTCCTTTATTGCATATCTATAATTCCAAGGGCCTTCTTGGTTTCTCTAAAGCCATCCTTTCACCACTTTTGATTTCCCTAAGGTTCATAGAATTGGTCGTTCTTGCTCCTTCTAGAACTGCCCAAATTCTGCACTAGTATTATTACTTTGTGGTGACAAAGGTTAAAACCCCCATTTTGAACAGACACCATCAATGCAAGTCAAAAAAATTGTTAGTCTGGATGTCCAAATATTTTGATGTAGACGAAGAAAGGTCTGGTATCAACATACTAGTTCATAAAAGTGCACAACCATGGAACAAGACTCTGAAATTGGTGAGTCAAAACTTGGACGATGTCCAATGTCAAAGAATTTCCTTGTTAAAACTTTTTGTTCCAAATGTTCTAAACCTATTACATCGAGTTCCAATCCCATGTGGCCACACATAAATATAGATTGGTAACCCTAAATTAACATGAATATCAGGTTTCCTTCAAACCAAGTTTGCTACAAGATTATTACTCCCTTTAACATATATTGACAAAAGAAATCTACTTTAGAATAGCTCCCTTTTTTGAGAAAGCTAATTAAAGAATGTGGACTTGGAATCTTGAATCTCAGTTTTAGTTTTAGTCAATAATAGTGCAACTAAGCTAGAAAAAAGTGGTTAGAAAAGGGAATTAAAAAGTTAAACTGATAATTACGTGATCTTTGGGGGGGGGGGGACAATAATGGGAAATAAATGAATGGGATCTCAAGCACTTTACCTTGGTTTGCCTAGGTGGAGTGTTTCCAAGTGTGAGTTTGCAGTAGACACTGGGATTTCCCACTGATTGCTTCAAATTGTTGCCGCGCTTAATGATTACCATTAATGTGCCTGGCAAGCACTGCAATAGAAGCTCTGCCTTCTCCTGAAATCGGGGTGGACCAGACTGGATCAAATATTGCAGCAAAGGAATTGCCTCTGCAGCAGCAACTGATTGAGCTTTGGAGACTTCAGCTGGGCATGCTGACCAAGCTTGTCTGAGAAGGAAAAGTGAATCCAAAGCAGCTTCCTGAGTTGCCTCTGAGCCAGTCTTGAGTGACGTGACCAAATGTGGAATACTAAGTGTGGCAGGTTCAGTAGCTCTCAAACGTGGGAAATTGCTAAAGAGTGCATTTAGAGCTTTCAGATATTCCTCGTTTACACTTCCAGTGGCCCATAAATCCTTCTCAATAGCAGCTGAAAGACGGCAAAAGGAACAAATGGATAGCAGAAAATGTTAATTGCATGCACGAAACAGCACTTTTAGTAACTTCTCCATAAATTATATTAGAAAGATGCAATACTGCAATAACAGCAACACAGACATGTAAAGAACCAATAATATTTACTTTCAGGCAACTATAGTTGAAACCATACATCTGACCTCCATACAACCTGCCTTAGATAGATAGATGCTCCCAAGTAAAAAATCAAACATTTTCTTAACCTATTAGAGAAAGCTTCAAATAATTCATGAATCTGAAGGTTAAAGAGAGTTCAGCTGCTTGAGAGTCTTCGAAGCTTTGATGCAAAAACAACCAGATATTCCTGTGGTTTTCTGGCACATGGTCCAGACTCCAGAGACCACCCCTGCACCTCATCTCAACACAATATGGTGCCTTGTTATTACACCTAAACTGACTTCAAGTCCTTTTTTATCATTAACTTATCAGGAAACTTTATTGATGGGAAAGAAAGATGGGATTTGAAGACACTTGGGAATGCAGTCATTCAAAAAGAGACCAGTGAATGCACCAGTCAAAGGCAAAATTTTATTCTTTCTCGAACAAAGGAAATGGCCCTAGATGTAGCAAAATGGAGGCATAAGCAGCACAGAGAAGCATTTCCAAATGTTGTGGAGCTGGAGAATAGGAATTCTATGGTCAAACACAAAAACTGGATGAGGCTTGTTGGAGGAGGAAAGCTAACCCAATATGACATAAATAAAACATAAGTTGCAAGAAACTAAACATATGTTTCCTCTCTTGGAAATCAAGTTTCTAGAACTATAAGACACTGGAGAACAGGTCAACCAAGAAGAAAGAACAAAGCATAACTTCTAATATAATGCTACAAACATCCATTACAATAGTAACAGACATATCTGCTAAAAAGAAAGATCAAATTGAAAGTAGAACTTTTTACAATACTAACAGAGATAAGAAAATATACCAGTTATAGCTCTCACTGTTTCACTAGAAGCATACTCCTGAATGGTATGGTTAGAGAAGAGCAGTTTGATAAACATTGCTGCCTGAACTGATGTATCTGGATCACTTGAACCAATAAGATCCAGTACAACCTGAACGCCACCAGCTTCTGCAACAGCTCTTTTGTTTGATCGACTGTACATTACAAGGTTTTGCAAGGCACATATAGCTACCACTTTCATTTCTTCTGTGGGTTGGTCTTCAAGAAGATTCACCAGAGCTCGACAAGCTGAAACAGCATCCGTAGTTCGAGCAAGAGCCTCATTCTGAAAAAGATCACCAAGAGCCAAGGTTGCTAGTAGTCTTGCTTGCTGAGCTTGAGTTTGTGGATCCAACAGGTACTGGGACAATGGTGCAATTGCAGACTTAGCAGCTTTTGTTTCTCTGATCTTCACATTGTTCAGCAACACTTCCAGCAGTCTTGCTGCAGTTTCCTCACACTGATGGCACCTGAGAAGTTCCAAAAGTGCCTCCACAGCACCACTTTCAGCCATTGCCTCAGCACTGGTAGAGTCGTCACTTTCCAACACAAGCAAAGCATTTAGTGCACCAATTATTGTGGTTTCTGTGCCAGAACGGAGCAATCTTACCAACACTGCAACAGGTACCTCCAAATAAAACTCAGAACTAAACTGCAGAATACTGGCTAAAACAGAAGCAGCAGATTCCCACAAGGCATGAGGCAATGGAGGATCAGCTTGTAGTATCACTTTAGATAACTCACTGACACCACCCTCTTTTGCAATCTCATTTGGCCAAATTATTGCAACACTGACAAGTGCCTTTATACTTCTCTGCTGCAGAATGGGTATACCTGAACCTAGGACTCGTATTAGAGGCCCAATAACTTGTTGTGTTATCATGTCCTTCTGAAGATGTTCTTCCAAGAGCAAATGTGATAGAAGTTCAGCTGCCAGCTGTTGCACAGCTGGAGCTAGAGAATCCAATAAAGGGATAAGTGGCTCAACAGCTTGGTGAGGAGTCAAATTATAGTCTGCACGGCATTGAGGATGCTCCAAAATATTAACAAGAACCTGTAAAACACTATGCTGTCCATCAGGACCAAATTCTGGTCTTGATAGCAATAGGAAAAGGGGTTCAACCACTTTAGCTGCACATGGGCCTTTTGCTATGTTTGTATTATTAGTCAGTATCCGAAGCAATTCTGCAAATACAGCACAGAGAAAATCAGGTGCTTCATGTAGAATGTCTAGTATGCTCTCAATGGCTCCAGCTTTTACCATTTCCATCTTACATGCTGGCCTGTCTTTTCCTAACTTCACAAGAGCTTTTGATATAGCCTCATGAAGTGTGTAATTCCTACCAAAAAGAAGGCTAACAAGAGGAATGACTGCACCATGTGCAGCAACTAGTTCAGCCAATTGTTCATCATCCAATAGTCTATCAAGTGCACGGACCACTGAATGATGAGCAGGACCAAACTCAGTTACAAGAAGAGACACCAGAGGCTCAACACAACGAGCTGCAGCTACTGTAGACCTAATTCTTGTATTGCTGAAAAGGGCACAACACAATTCAGCAGCATCTCCTTTCAGCTCCATTGAACAATTTGATGAAAGGATCCTGCAAAGAACATCCACCGCATTCATTTCAACATCTGCAACAGCTAGGGCTCTCGATGGACTTTCACACAATAACCTAACCAATGCACCAATAGCAGCATGTTGCTCCCTTTCCAAGCCAGTGCTAAGAATCTCGACAAGGGGTTGAATAGCTTGTCGAGAAGTTTCTGCATTCCTGATATGGTCCGAGGAAAACAGGCTCTCCAATGCTTTGGCAGCACTGTATCTTGCCCCTCTTCCACCAAGCCGTAAAACTGCTACAAGTTGATTAACAGCACCAAATACAGAATCATGCTTCCGTATTTCAGCACTGTCAAATAGAATCCCTAATAACTCAGTGGCAGCTTCCTCTGTTGCATCTTGTGGACCAAGTGAAAGGTATTTAGTCAGAGCCTCTAAAGCCCCTGATTCAACCATTACAATCTTGTTTGAGGGACTGTCTTTTGCAAGTTGTGTCAAGAGCCCAAGAGCCAGAAAAGGTGCACCAGGTCGATCTGGAATCGGTTTCAGCAAATCAACAAGTGAAGGTATTGCTTTTCGAGAAGTAGCACCATTTCTAATGTCATCAACTCTAAACAACCTTTCAAGAGCAATCTGCTCTGGATTGGGCACCAAAGCAAACTCTTCTGACAATTCCAAAAGGTCACATATATCAACCTCGGCACATCCCAGTAAAGAAATAAGCCCAGCTGCTGCCCCAGAATTTGCAACAGCTAGAAGAGTCCCTCTGCTACCATTACATACAAGACTAGCAAGTGCTTGTGCTGCAAAATATCTATTAGCTGATTCCTCTGACTTCAACAGGTTTGCAAGTACAGGAACGGATCGCGTAGTTGTGTGTGCCCGTATGATATCTCTGTCTTGAAACAGAATTGCAAGCAGCAAAGCACAAACCCATGTGCTGCTATCTTCTCTAAAATCACTCTGCACAAAATTATATGGACAGAGTCAAAAGAAGCCTCAAGAATTGTATTAGCATTGATGCAACAACAAGAATGATACCAAGAAAATGCATAGCAATATCAATTATGAAAAAAAAAAAACAAAGGAAATATTATTCACAGATCACAGCATATTTTAGCAATACATGCACAACTCATACTAAACAAATAAGTTGTGCAGTTCATGTGAAATATCAAGATGAGCCATATGGTTGAAATACCTGAATGGCTTGTGACAAACACCGAGATATTTTGTCTGTAAGAACTTCAACTGCTCCAGCCTCCATAATGGCAGTTTTACTTCTATCATCATGACATGCAAGAACAGAAAGCAGCCAAATAGCTAAGCTGTCACCAGAAATAAGTGATGTGCCATTTTCAGTTTCATTATTTTTAGTTTGTTCCTTTCCATGCCTGTAAATGCTTATTTCCTCATTGTTTTCACTATCCCCCTGATCTGGCAATGAAGATGCTTGTGCTGAATTGAGCATCTCAACCAGAGATTGAATGAGATAGGCACATGAGTTTGACTCATTCAGAGCTTGAACCACTCTTTGGTGGTGCACCTTCGCAGCACAAATAAGAAGTGCAGTTCCACCAACTTTCACCTTCATGTTTTTAGAACCAACTACCCTCCTTGCAATTGATGAAATACAGCCCAAAGTACTTGAAATTGTATCCCCAAGGACAACAGGCTGATCACGGCAAAGCCTTGATAAAATTTCTATAGCTTTATCCTGCAACAAGGGTGTTGCATCTGCAATGCATGAAACTATTGAAGCTATGGTATTTGGATATTCAGCTAGTACAGCCCAGGCAGGTTTTATATGCATGGTAGGTCCTTTTGACCTTGACAACAAAGAAAGTGCATCAAGTGCTTCTGATGTGGCAGCAGATTCAATATTAGCAGACTCCAGAAGAGAAACTAGCGCAAGAACTGTCCCAGCACGATTTACACAATCAGATATTGAAGAATCAATTGAGCGACATTGGAGGAGACGGGCAATTGCTGCTGCAGCATGGGCTCTTCCATCAATTGTGCCGTCTCGCAATACTCTTGTAGCAGGCAAAATAATTTCATCAGGAAATGCCTGCTCCGGGACCTCCTTATCCAAAAGAAGATTAGCCAATGCCCTTGTTGCTTGTTCAGCAACTTCCAGAACTGAAGAATTAGCAAGAACAACTAATGGGGCCAATGCATCTATAGCAACTGCAGCAATGTCCCGGTTTTGTTTAACTGAAAGAAAAATGGCAGCAAGGCAGCATGAAGATTCCATTAAAATCTTTTCAGAGTCCACATTTAAAAGCTTCATGGCCGACCAGAGAGCCTTGACAGCAATACTACTTTCCCGTAAGTCCTTCCGGCAATCAAAGAGTCCAGCTAAAACTGATGCAGATTTAGCTTGTGTTTCTTCTCTCGTAGAACTCAAGATTTTAATTATTGTTTCAAGTGCATCATTTGCAGCACTTCCTTCATGTAATATATCCTTAAGGGGAGCCACCAAAAGCAAACTTTTCAGGGCATCCAAAACATAAACCTTAGATTCAGGTAGATCACTGGTCAGCAAAGCAGTTAGTTGGCTGATTGTCCCCGTATCAGATTTATGGATAAGATGGTTCAATGTCTTTGCTGCAATCCCTTTCCCATTCTCACTTCCATTTTTCAGTAGCCATAATAAAGCAGGCACAGCATCAGCACTTTCTACACAAGCCCGTATATCTTCACTGTGGTTGCAGAGGTTTCCTAAGATTGTTGCAGAATCTTCCTTGGCTTTAACAGACCCTGTCTCTAGAATTTGAACAAGTGGAGGTATGCCACCAGCAGCAGTTATGGCCCATTTACTTTCATCGTTCTCATTTGATAGGAGACAGAGCAATGCAACTGCACATTCTTGTTGTTGCTCCGAGGAAAGACCAAGAAGGGATATTAATAGTTGAACCCCCTCCCGACCTTGAAGGGAACGCCATAGACTGCCTTCATTGTTGCAAAGTAAGAGAAGAGATCTTATCAGCTCATCTTGAACCTCATTGGTTGCCATTGTGATCAAACCAACAAGGAGACGCTTTGCATCAGAATTCATTAGCCTCTTTGAGAGAATGGCATTTGTATACAAGCTTGCTAAAGCTTCAATGGTACGTTCCTGCACAAGAAATGGTAACCGAGGTTTAAACTGCTTAACTAATACCTGCTCAACAATAAAAGGGTCTGATGCTCTGATAGATTCTGCTTTGCTATCATATATCATGAGAGCCGAAGCTAATGCCCCCAATGTATCAGCAACCTGAGCAGGTGAAGTGCATGACTCAAGACTTTCACCAAGGCTAGAGATGACATATGCCAAGCCGCCAGAGATATTTGCTAGAGCACACATAGCATTCTCCTGTAATGCTTGGGCACACTCACCTTGCATGAATTCTTTTGAGGGAGCTATTGTTGCATTTATCAAAACAGGTATTCCATTAGAATTAGCTATCTCACGCCTTGCTTCTTTGCACTGAGCAGAAAGGGATTTAAGAGCACCTGCAGCTTCTGCCCTAACAGAGGCTTCATTACCTGGCCCTAATAGCTTGAGGAGTTGTTTAGTAGCACCTGCATCTAAGATTCTAGGGCAGACAGATGCGTCCTCCATCATCATACATGCAATAAGAAAGCAAACATTTGCTTGTGTACTTGATTGTCCAGTTGTGAGTAACTTTGAAAGTATATCCACACCTCTTGCTTCTATTGTTGCAGACCAGAACCCCTCAGTGCTGCTAGATAGGTTTCTCAAAGCTCCAGTTAACAGGTTGTCAACCAAGTTTCCAGCCTTTAGCCCATTTTCTAGTTGCTCCCAAAGCACAGGAACAACTCCTTCCGTTGAGAAAATCTTTGATCCAACATGATCCTTAGCCCCACCTTGAGAAACAGCATGTATTGCCTTTGCAGCTGCAATTTGTCCTTCTGCAGAGCTGGACCTGAGCAGACCAAGCAATGGAGGAATGCAACCCCCAAGCAAGACTTTTACCCTTAGCTCATCCTCCTTACATAGAGAACCTAATACAGTAGCAGCCTGTATTTTCACTCCAAGTGATCCTGATCTGAGAAGAGAAACAAGTATGGGAACTGCTTGAGAATGAGATCCAACAGCACTGAAAGCATTGTCACGTGTATCAATAAGGTCCAGCAACTGTTTCAATGAGCTCTCTTTCTCCTGTACAGTTGAAGAGCTCCTCCGCAATTGCTCAATGCATTGGGCAACACTTGCCAAGGTCCCATCTGGGTCCTCCATTGTTCCACGGTCCCTGTAGGAAATTGAATGAATAAGATCGCAATTACTAACAAATACTGCTTTATGTTAGACAACATAAAATTGAACTGATAATGGACAAGAGCATAGATAAAGACCATCATCATCCTAGAGACTTGGGAAAGCATATACTTAATGAGCCTCTTTCCAACAAAACAATTCAATATGAACCAATAGAAGAAGCACTACCATGAATTCATAAAAAATAAAGTGAAGCATATTAACAAGATAGATTTTAGTTATTCCAAAACAATAACTTGGAAATTCACTTTATTTAAAGCTACAAGATATTCCCAGGTGTACTGCTTTAAGATTAGAGTATGCAACTGTATGGTGAAAGTAAGGGTATACAAGAAGTATGAGATTACTTGGGCCAAGTATCAATATATCAAAAGATTATATAACGGTTTATACCTATTTATTCAGTTGCAAGGAAGATGGATAATCCAAAGTATCTCAGACTTCCTTTAAGAACAAATTCTGCAGTGAGCTCCTTTCACAACATGGTAATGAGAAAGTTTGAGAATTAGCAGCTAAGAGGAAAACCTGTGTTTCATATGGCAGCCCACTACTATCCTCAGTGTTGCATGGAATGTCCTAAACAGGTGAAATGTCTATGTTGGACATTGGGTAGGCTTCTGACACTCCATGTATTCTCGAGGAACACTTCTATGTGATATTTCCCTTTTTTCCTTGCTTATTTGACACAAAATAGCATAGCTAATGTACATAATGAAAGATATTTTTCATATAGAACTCACTGAGTAACAAAGATATACTTGAAGGCTTTTTTTTTGACAAGTTACTTTTGAAGACCTTTTTTAAATAGGTATAAGATGTTACAATTCGAATTATATTAAGTATTTTTATAGTACATACATTAATTTCATGTTGCCAAGTCCATGTTCTTTTGTCTTACCAAGTCAGACTCCTACCCATGTGTCAGATTCTGATTAATGATTTTTTTTGATAGATAAAATTCAATTGATTTCATTAGAAGCAAATGATAAATAATTCGTTACAAGCATCCCAAAATGAGGCGCGAGGTGCAGACTCACTCATTGATACAGAAACATCATAAATTTACAATTGGGCCCAGTATAACTGTTCCCTAGTTACCCCTTGTTTAGCTAGAGAATCAGCAAAAGCATTTGCCTCCCTCCCCACCCACTGTATAGTTACCTCCATCTGCTGAGTTAACCGTTTGAATTTCTCCAATTCATTTCTGTAAGCCCAGATCACTGAATCTGGGTTTTTTAGCCAACCCACCACCACCTTGGAGTCCCCTTCTATCACCAAATTTTCCAATCCTAACTCTCTTGCAATCTGTACACCTTGTAGGGCTGCGTACAATTCTGCCTTTAAGGAGTCTCCATTCCCCACTGGTCCTGAGAAGAGTGCTCTTAAGTTTCCTTCCTTGTCTCTGATTCCAATTAATGATTATCATGTCAATGTCCATGCAACACTGCTTATTCTCTCCAAGATCCATAATAATATCATAAACTCCCAAGGCTCTGTTTGGAAAGAGTACAAATACAAATATGTATAGTGCAAATACATATAAAATAATACAAAATACAAGGTTTTACACTCTACATATTTGTATTTGTACTCTTTCCAAACTGAGCCTAAAGGAAAATTCAAATAGGCTTTATTTAATAAATTTTCTGTGGGTAAAAACCAGTGTTTTAAAAGTGCAAGGTGCAAGGCGAGGCGCGCGCCTTTTTAAGCAAGGTGCAAAATTACAAAAAAAAAAGTCAGAAAATTCAAAAAATTGCCAAAAATTAAAAAAAATGCAAAAAAAAGAAACATAATGCTAATAAAAAATATAAACTTAAATTTTAAAATAAATGTTTTAAAAAACCTATTATCTAAAATTAAAATACATAAACATAACATGTAAAGTGTATTCAAATGAAAATTTAAAAATAAAAGCAAACATATAAAGTATTTTCAAGCATGTAAAACCCACAATCTCTTTTTTTCCTGAATTGCATTGCTTCAAGTAGCTAATGTGATGTAAAACATATTGCATTCTTGATTCTATAAGTCGCCTTTATACCATGCCCCTCGAGGCAAGCCCGAACAAGTTTATGTTAGGGTCTGAAATTCTTATTTCTCACATAAAAAATCATGATTTTATAACTTCCATTGCCTTTTAAGAAGATATTTTATTGCAATGAATGAATGAACAACATTAGCAAATAGGGGGTTCTCGGACCTGGGCACACCAGGCATGCGCCTTTTTAAAGGGGTGCGACTAGGACCTAGGCAAGGCACATACCCCAAAATGCGCCTTGCTTGTGTGCCTAGGCGCGCCTTTTAAATCACTGGTAAAAACTAATGTCATATTGGAAGCTATTAACAAGCACACTCTATCCTAGAAATCTGGCTGTTTCAGACACCATTGCATATTCACATGTCATTTTTTCTATGTACCATTCACTCATATGGTTATTCTTTCTTTTGGTTAAGCATAGATCAAAGAAGATTTATTCAGAAAATAAAACAAGACAAATATAAAAGATATAAAAAGTTAGACTGAGGATGACTAGCTCAACCTAACAAGTAATGTGTCCATCCCATGGACCACAATTCCCGCTTCATGGAAATTACCATTAGTGGGAAATGTGTCCATCTTGGCAGTGAGCCATAAAAAGGTTAGCAAACATGATATGCTTTAATTGGAGGGAGGGAGCTTTGCATAAGTCTCCAGCATTTCTCATCCATACAGTATCTGACAAAAGCTTCATGTCTTCGTTTTTCTTAAAAGACCAGCCCAGTTATAAATTTAAGTGGTGTTTGGTAACATCCTTGGGAATACCTTTTTTTTTTCTATTTTCTGGGCAAGGAAAAAAAAAAACAGCAGAAACATTTTTCTGGAACAATATATCACCTAATAAGCAGAGGTTGCTAACAAGGATATATCAGCTTTAGCCAAATTGTCAATGTTTCTATCAAAGTGAACTTTTTACTTACCTTGTACCAATCTTCATGCTTGAACGTGGAGTCGGAGGTTCTGAGTCTTGATGTTTTGTGTCCCCATTTCTTTCCTGTTACCATAAGAAAGAAAAAAGATGGGAATGATCATTAGACAAAAAAGCATAAAATTTTATCCCAACTCTAATTTTCTCATAATATGGTGTTGGTTATCAAAAACAGAATGTAAGATTGGTAAAACCATAGGGAGAAAAGGAGCAAACATGTGCACAACATCCAAATTATCAGTATTGCAAAGAGTATCGAAAAGGAAGTTTTAAGAGATGTATCAGGATATACCTTGGGTATGCATGGATATGATGAGAAAATTAAGACATTCATGGATATATGAGGAAAACTCATGTGAATCCTAATACTACATAAATAACATAATCAAAGGGCTAAAATAAATAAAAAGGTACATATACATAAGAAAGACAATTTCAATAGATTATGTGAAGTGTGAACCATCAAGATACAATTAGGAAACAGCAGGAAATGATGGAAGAACTAAAAGGTGCATGTATATCTTAGCAAACCAATATAATTCTCGTTTATACTTAACATCTATAAATATTAATAATCAAAACTTTATTTTTTGGTTGATAGGAAAAAGTTAAAAAATCTAGAACCCATGTAACTACAATAATTTAAGCATTGTGTAGTGATGGATTTGTTGCCTTTCAACCAAGAGACCTAGGTTCAAATCTTCCTAAATGCATGTAGTTCTATACCATGGGAATCATGGGGAGGAGAGATAACTAGGGGGATAGAAAAACTAAAGATTTAATTAGGTGCCATTAATGGTATTAAAAGGAGATAATAATAATAACTGCACTTAATGTTAGGGGGTGTCAATAGTTGAGAGAGATAACTATGTAATTAATGAGAGCAACTGCTTGAATTTGTAAGCCTTAAATATAGGAGTTAATGGGAAGAAACAGAAGTTAATGAGGGAGGAAATTTGAATTTGAACTCCTTGAATACGAGTGTCGGTGAGGAGTGGGACTGCATCTACACACCCAACGTAGACCAGTCAAGGGAGTATAAGCTGATAACACAAGGATACAGGCCCACTTGTACCCCATGTTGGTATACTCAACAGATATGTATTGAACCATATTGGCCAATAAATACCAATACTTTAGACTTTGCATATACATTGACAGAAAATAAATAGAATATGATTGAACTTTCTCCAAAAAGAATGACAAGCTCCATAAATGATCATACAAAGAGGACAATGCAGTGTTTGAAAAAACACAAGGGGCTTTTTGTGCCCAAGTCATGCTCCTTTTTTGAGGCAAGGTGTAAAATTTTTTAAAATTCAAAAAACAAAAAATTAAAAATAGTACTAATCAAAAAATGCAAACTTAAATTTAAAAGAAACTAAATGTTTTAAAAAACCTATTAGATTAAATTAAAATATATAAACATAACATACAGAACATATTCAAGCGCCTAACAATTCAAGCATGTGTTCTCTCCTAAATGCATTACTTCATGTAGCTAATGTGATGTTAAACATTTTGCATTCCTAATTCTACAAGCCAATTCTGCACCAAGCCCCTTGAGGCAAGCCCAAACAAGTCAATGTCAGGGCCCTAAATTTTTGGTCTATAAATAAAGAAATTGGCTTTGTAATATTAGTTTCAATTCCATCTATCAAAAAAAATATTAGTTTTAATTCCATATCTTTTAGGATTAGGAATCAAATGATGTTTGATGAAGAATGCCCTGTATTAAGAAGGATGAGAGAACATTAGAAAAAGGGGGGGGGGGGTTGGTCGGGGGTCTCAGCCACTTAGCTTGCAAAGGCACGACCTTTTCAAAGGGGATGTCCTCGGTGAGGCACACACCTTGAAATGCGCTTTGCCTGTACTCTTAGGTGTGCCACATGTCTTTTTAATCACTGGGACAATTGAGACTTATATATGCTTAATGAGATTGAACTTCTTTTAGGTACCTATCCTTCTATTCTGAGATAAATTCCTAGAAAGCTGAATGTCATTGCTGATGAGTTGGTAAGATCAGGGGTTAATCAGGAAAGCGTGCATAACAAGTCTTCTCTTCCAGTATAAGAACTAAGGATTTGATCTGGTACAACTTGGATGACTCATACCATTTGTCTGCTATCCACTTTGTACATCATCTTGATGAAATTTTCTCCATTATAGAAAAGCCAATAGGAAATTCAGTTCATTCAGAAGCATGGCCATTTAATATTACAAAGGCAATGCTTCACTGACCTAAAAAGAAGAAAGAGCCTTAGAGCTGCTGGTCAAGAAAAATCCACAACCATACTAAATGGATGCAAATGAAACAGTTTTTTAGAACTGACAGTAATCATGCAGTGGTAGAACATTTCTACAACAAGAATCTGCGAGACAGCATGAAATGTCATTTCCCAGAAATGGTGTCCACATAAACCATCTCTGTGCTGATTCTCAGCATTTGCACATACAAACATCAAAAAATATGTTTCTCACAATTAATAAACATAAAAAAAACAAGAGTCTAGAGAATCCAAGAAACATATTAATAAACATCAAAAAATATGTTTCTCACAATTGAGAAGAAATGGATAGGTTTGCTTTTTCAGAGTACTAAGTACCAGCTCAAAGAAACAAGAGTCTAAAGAGAATCCAAAGCTAGAATTAAAACCGCAATTAGATTAGAAGTGTAACTATAACAATCCCAGTCAAAGACTATCGGTAGGAATCTTGAGCACCAATAAGGGCATCTTGAGATCTAGACAGTGTCATTTCATACTAAGCCTATAAAGATTACTCCATTTTGACACCCAAACAAAATTTACCATTCAACCGGAAAGAAAATATATAAGCGGAGAAGTACCGCGTCATTAGTTCCATGGCTGCTACCATTGCTGGTAGCAAACCTCCACGTCAGTGTCGTCGCCAGCTTTACAGCGGTTCTGAACCTCCAAATAAATCAATCCGGAACACTGCTCTCCTCCAGATCTACTGAGGAGCGACCATCAAAAAAAGAAAAGCCTCCTGAAAAACTAGAAAATTCAATATATAAAATAAAGAAAACAGACATGAAAATGCATATCGAATGCTAACTGCTAGAAAAACCAAAGATCTCAAGTCTGAAACAAAATGAATCTAATCGAGAAGTTGATCTTCAAAACCAATGACAGAATAGACTGCGGACTGCAAAATCCCGAGTTCTGGAGTAAGAAGATGGCAGATCCAGAGGAAGGAGCAAAATCTCTAGTGACACGCAAAACCCTAGTAAAGTCATCTATCAAGAAGAGCACAACTTTCCCTTCGACTATGCTACCCCACAGCAACAACAACAACAAAATCGTCCGATCCCAGAGATTTCTCAATCCACATCAAATCTCAGCAAATTCGAAAGAAACATAATGAAATGATCAAATTCACCGAAAAATAAAACCCACCAGATAGGCTGTTCTCCAACTCAAAGGCCAATGCTTCGACTTTTCCACTAAAAAATCGAGTGACGCAAAAGAATTTGAAAGAAAACTAAAACAAAACAACAAAATAAAAGAGAAGTAATAATATTTACACCTCTCAAGACAAAAAATGCTAAAGCATGCCGACTCAACAACTCAATCTCCGCAAAATCTTTCACAAAACAACCAGATTAGTCATCAATGTCGCTGAGATTCAGAGACCATAAAGAAATACGAGAAATTCTACATCTCGAGCTCCGAACAATGCAAGTATTAAATCCGAAAAGAAAAGAGAAAGATTCAAAGATTGAAATGCGGCGAATGTAGAAAGATCGAAATCTGAACATTGCAGAGAATGTTCTTTTTTCGCTAAATATTACAGAGAATGTTCCGTCCCTCACCTTCTGAGACTCGTCCTTTGGAACTAAAACAGCGGATGGAAGCAACGTCTTCTCAAATGCATGAATTTATTTGCAGAGAATTAGATGAAGATGGGGTATCCGAGTGCTTGTTCGGACTTCGGACAGAGCATTAGCAGCGGCTTCTCACCCCAGCATAGACGGGGGAAGATGCAATTTGCCAGATTTTTCTTTTTTCTTTTAAATGGATTTTATTTAAGATCTGCGGAGGCTTTTCCTGCGTAGAGTGCAGTGTTCCAGATTACGAGAATGGGCTTTTTCTCCCGCCGACAAATCTACGGCTCAGCCTCAGCTCATTTTAGCAGCTTCCCACAGGGCACAGGCACAAGCGAGCCGCCAGTTTAACCAGTAGAAATAATTTGGGAAAGAATCTCTATCGCATTTATTTATTTTATTTTTGGTTCATTTGCCAAAACACCCCGACATTCTTACAGATTTACCAAACCTTACAACATTACAACATGGTTGATTTACACAATTAACCTTCTAATACCTTTAGGCTCTAACATTTTATATCGAGAAATGTTTAGTTATGGCTTCCAAATTCGAGTTCAGATCTGCGCCCCCACAACGTTCACAGCGCATCCCCGCCTTGTATTAAGAATATTTTCCAATAATAATATCATCGGGTCTGATATCGGGAGATGTTTTCAATACACTGCAGGGATATAGTATGGGACATTGTGGGGCGCAGATATAAACTCTCTAAATTCTTCATTTGCAACGATGAATCAACATTCTGATTTTTTTTTTTTTTTGTTTGAACTTGTGTAAACAGACGTTAGGGTTAAAACTCTCGTTTCATTTTATTTAGGGTTTTAAATGGGTCAGGTCTGCATTGGGACCAGCTAGAATTGGAATTAACCTAATATAAAATATTGAGACCTAAAATTAGATCTGATCTAATAGAGTCTGTAATTTTTAGATTCATAACCGAATTGATCGGTCGTTGTGACAATCGGATCTAACTTAATAGATCAGATTATAATAAATAAATAAATATATATATATTAAATATAATATAAATTATGTATATAATTTATTTAATAGTATATAATTTGGATTGGGTCTGAATCGGTTTAGTACTAACTATAATTGATTCTGAACCAAAAATAATCTACCCAATCCCAAGTGGATAATAATTGAGAAACTACATCAAGACCGAGAACCAACGCAATCAGTTAGGGTTTATGTCTGATCCATTGGATTGAAATCGACCTATTGACAACCCTAATTTTATGCTTCTATCTAATGGATGGATTAAACATAAGGTAAAATATATAAGAGGTGTTTTAATAAGATACAAATATGACGTATTTTAATAAATTCATAAAATTATAAGAGATGTTTTAGTAAATGTCCTTTGGGTGGGATTGGAATTGTGACATGAACCATTATTTGGTGATTGGTGATGGACTGAAGTTCTCGAGCCGGAGTTGGAATGTGGATTGAGTGTTGGATTGGAATCTAATAGCAGGAGAATCGTTTCATATATCACCAATAGAGAAAATCTCAATCCAAATGACAATCAACAATAGACCGAAGGTCTCAAGCTATTGCAGCTGTATGCCCTTGTCCTTTTTTCTATTTTGGCTTTCGGATGTTAATTGAATTCTTTTTTTATTATTTATTTTTGTATTATTTAAGTCACTATAAGTGACATGTGTTATTCAAGATTTTGTGTCCAAACGCCCATATTATTAAGGCTTTTTTTTTTGTGTAATTTTTTGCTGAAACCTCTAATATAATTATGATAACCTCCCTGAACTGCAAATAGATCCTTTTTGTTATAATCCTCTAAAAAAGGCATGTTCATGTGATTTCACTAAAATGTTTAACTTTCAATTTCTTTTTTACATATGAATCATTACTCCAATCCCTTTTAATATTTTTTCTAAAATTGATTTATTTTTCAAATTTATCCTTTATATCAATTTGCTTAAAGGTAAATATGTAACTTTAAATTCTATTTTTTGGTTTTCATAAAGTTTATATTATTTTTATAGAAACCAATCTAATTAGTAGGGATGGCAATTTTCCCCATTTCCCCGATCTTCGTGGGGATCCATCTCGAATGAGGAAGGGATGGGGATGATTTCCCCCCACGGGGATGGGGATGGGGAAATTTTCATCCCCGTTAGCAGGGATGGGGAGAGCACTCCCCGCCCCGCGGGGACCCCGATCCCCTCTCGTGGGATCCCTACTAATATATATGTGTATATGTATGTATACATTATATATACACATACGTCTATATATTAATGTTTTAAAAATATGGTTGTATCTTTTTTAATAGATTGCAAATTTTAATTTTTTAAATAAAATAAAAACAAATTTATTAACATTATAAAAAATTATGGGGAATGGGGATCCTCGCGGGGATGGGGATGGGGATAACCTTGTCCCCGTTAGCGGGGATGGGGACGGGGATGGGGATCCCCCCGCCCTGCTCTGTTGCCATTCCTACTAACTAGTAACTGTATGGACATTTTGATACTTTTTATAAGATTATAATGAAAAGGGCCTACATAGGGGTGGATTCGAGCCGAATTGTACCAAGCTCGACCTCAACTCGAGACTGTTCTACAAGGCTCGAGCTCGAGCTCGACCTTGAGAAAAAATATTTTATAAAAATAAAAAATTATATATAAAAATATTTTTTATTTGATATTTGAAAAATTAAGAATTATAATAATTAATAATTATAATATTTTTATTGTATATATATATATACCGAGCCGAGCCGAGCCGAGCTTGAACAGCTCGTGAAAAGTTTGGCTCGTTGCCACCCCTAGGCTTACATGAAAAAATCAAGGGGGAGGTGATTGTAATTATCAACCTTTAGGGGGAGGTGATTGTAATTATCAACCTTTAGAGGAGGTTATATAAATGGTCCAAAACTGCAGGGGAGATTTCAACAATTTTACCCTTTCCTTTTTTGCAAGAGCCCGTATGATTATGTGTTTTTTTTTCTTTTTCTGTAAATTATGTATTGATCTATTGAAAATAATCCCTGCATCATTAAACTAAGGGTCCATTTGGTTTGCTGGAATAGGGGTTTGGAATAGGAACCGGAATGGGCTATTTTGATTCCAACTGTTTGATTGGGTGGAATCGGAATCCCATTTCCATTATTGTTGGAATGGCATCCCCCCATTTGAGGGAATGGAAATGAACCATTCCGATTCCGACTACAAACCAAACAGACCCTAAACTTCCTTGTGAAAACGGATTCATCTCCCAAAGTTCCAAATGAGTTTAAGAAAAACAAAAAATAAACTAGTAGTGTTGGTCCTAATTAGTATTTTATCAGGTCCATTCAAATTTTGACAAAGCCAATCCGAGCCCGCTTAAGTTGCACCCTTAAAACTGAATTGTTTCAATTAAAACAAGTGGGGGTGATTACGGTTTGGTTAATCGAATTAAAGGCTATTTTTTTTAAACCAAACCATTACCCTATTGGTTTTTGAAAATCATAGATAAAAACCAATCCATTAACTACTTGATTAATTTGACTTTTGACCAATTCAGTTCATGTAAGGTTTTAAAAATTGGACCGGACATTGAACCGTTCTGACCACCAGTTTTTGGGTCAAACAGTCTGATCATTCAGTTCAGGTAAACGGCCCATTCCGATTTAAAAAATAAAAATCAAAAATTAAAAAGAAATAAAATAAAAGGCCAAAAAATTGTCTATATTGATGAATCAACTGCCCGGATTAACGGATCGTTGACTAAATCAACATTTTTTGACCCAAAAGTAGTTTTAGGGTGAAATGAAATTGGTTCCCGGATCAACCAGATGACAAACATGCATTCAAACGCATTCCAGTTGTTGGTTAGCTGGGAAAAGAACAACTGATGACTTATTTTCTAAAAGCATTAGGGTTTAAAGCAAAAAAAAAAAAAAGACATAACTAAACATAGTTTCAAATTGAAATATGAGGATCTTAATCACTCCGAGAAGTGGAAAAAGAGCTTATTCTCACTCCTAAATGCTTCGACACTGAAACTTCGGTAGATGGCTTCCGCAGTTACAAAGAGAAAACATTCAAATAGTTCTTTGATTTCAACAACTGTATCACAATGACACAATTAAAAAATTATATATATATATATACACCAAATAATAGATATGAAAACTTTTTAATTATGGCTCAGTTTGGAAGGAGTGCAAATACAAATGTGTAGAGTACAAAATCTTATATTTTTTATTATTTTGTATGCATCTGCTCGGTACATATTTACATTTGTATTCTTTCCAAACTAAACCTATAGTGCAATTGGATTCAAGGTCCATTGAAAATTTCACAAATTCCAAACCCATGCCGACCCAAACTGCACTCCTAATTCAAAGAAAGGACAAAGCATAATGTGAGCTACAATTTAGGCTGCATTTGGCATTCTTTATTTTAAGAACTTATTTCCTTTTTATAGTTAAAAACTTAATGTTCATAAAAGCATTTTAACAATAACAAGGATATAAGTCATTAAAATAAAGAATGCCAAATGCAGCCTTAATGTCTACATTATATGCAATTAATGAGCATGTGCATGTGATGTATATAATAATGAAATTAAGTTGGCAAGCTAGTTAACATGGTCAATGAGCATTTCCTAATAGAGTCATTGCAATTATTGGCATTTTATATGACTACTCTTTTCAATTAACAAAAACAAGTGCCTATTCTATATCTAATGCACCTTTGCATTGAGCAAGGGATGGTATCGCTCGTAAAAATTGTACCTTTAGGCTTTGCTTCCTTTGTAAATCCAAACTAATTCACATTTATATCTGTTTTGTCCATAAAATGATGTGTTCCTGTTTTTTATGCAAAATCCAAAATTTGCACCACCTCTTTTCACTTCACCTTCATTTCATCTCATAGAACCAACAAATCACAATATTTCTCATATAACTCTCATAAAATGGTTTGTACCTCTTATTGGATGCAAAATTTGCACCACCTCTTTTCACTTCACCTTCACTCCATCTTATAGAACCAACAATCTTTCTCATATAAGTTGAGAATAGGGGTTCAATGGACCTGCAGTTTTGAGTTGGATCCGTTCAAATCAAAATCAATTTGGACGGATTGGACAGACCAATAAGATGTATTGAATTGGATCTGTCCAGACTTAATGGTCCAAAGTATTTACTGAATTGGATTGGACCTGATCCATCTGCAATGGATTTATATTGGATTGGGTAAGTTGAACCAATATCCAATTCATTGATAAAAGATAAAAATGTGGGCGTCAATGGTTAGGTTTGAGTTAGAACCAATCTAAATTA